GTAAATGTAGACTGGCAGCGTGTGCAAAGCAATTACTGTATGGTTTTGTTAGTAAACTGCACAAATGTAGACCAGCCACACGTGTAAAGTAATTGTTGCATGATTTGCTGATGAACCACGCGATAAATGTAGACTGGCTGCACATGCAAAGTAACTGCACAATTCGCTAGTGAACTGTGCAATGAATGTAGACTGACTGTACATTCAAAGCAGTTACTACACAATTTGCTAGTGAACCGTGCAATAAATGTAGACCAGATGCACGTGCAAAGCAATTACTGCACGCTTTTACTAGTAAACTGCACAAATGTAGATTGGCCACATGTGCAAAGTAATTATTGCATGATTTGCTAATGAACGGTGCATTAATTTTTGACCAGATGCACGTGCAAAGTAATTATTGCATGATTTGCTAATGAACGGTGCATTAAATGTCAACTAGATGCACGTGCAAAGTCATTATTGCACAATTTGCTAGTGAACTGAGCAGTAAATGCAGACTGGCCGCGGGTGCTAAGTAATTATTGCACAATAAAAATGAGTCTCTAGCTATAAAACTAGCCAACCAGCTATAAAGTTGCTGTGTGAAAGTGTGTAGCAAGTCTAGAGCTGGTTTCTACCCAGCTTTAATTTGAATTTGTAGCAGGGTCCTAGTCAGGCAGAGCAGCAGTTGATCCCCACCTCCCAGTTCTGATCAGAGGCTTCCTGACATTGACTTTAGCCGAATGTCCCCATCCCACCCTGGGGAAACAGGGATCCCATTTCTTGTCATGACACCCCACCAGGAAGGAGTGAGAGGGTGGGCAGGAGCAGGCGTCTGATAAAAGTGTGTTTGCTGTTTTCCATGGTAAGGATTTATCTTTTACTGCATTAACTGCACAGGTGGTATAAGTTAGACAAGCCTTCAAAGGCAAGCTGTTCTTCATTCAGGGTAAAAAGGAAGTGAAACATATATTAATAATGCAAAGATTTATCTGAAAAAAGGTTTGGTCGTAACTGAAAGGAGAAGTCAAATTTAAGCCAAGAAAGGCTAGGGTTTTAAAAAGTGGACCAAGAGATGTGGAATATAAAATACCAATAATGAAGAGGAGGCCAGAGTTTGAAAATGAAGCAGTAAGCTTTTAGGCCATAGGATATGTTTGTGAGCAGAGGGCTGACTGAGGCCTTTGAAAGCTACAGTAGTGTAAAAAGGTGTAATAACCCAAAGATTTATCAAATGCAGTGTTTTTTAGTATATATTTCTTAAAACAATGTTACACTAACAAGCTGGTGATGTTTTTTAGGTCCAAAATCTAGTAAACCATGTTGTCTAGAAATACACAGTGGGCACATCTACACGGGACACTAACTGCGCAGGAGTCTAATAACACTGCACAGTAGTGTGCTGGGCAAAAATCCTGCTAATATGCTACTGCGCAGTAGTATTAGGTTACTGCTCAGTAAGCATCACTAAAAATCCATGCGCTGGTGCTACTGTGCAGTAGTGCAAGTTACTGCTCATTGATTTAGTTCTTGGTTAGCCATTAATGAGCACATTAATGAATGTGTAGAGATGCCTAGTAGCACTATTAAAATGTGCCTGAAGCTGTACGCATCTTACTAGAAATAGACTCCTGTGTTTTAGAAAGCTTTACCAATAGTTGTCCTAATGACTATTTCTCCAATTCTGAACTTTTTCTGCCTCTTATAGATTCTTAAAAATCTTTTTTTTTAAGTACTAAACCTGCAAATATAAAAAGAAAAAAAAATCCAAAAAAACAGAACACAAAACCCTGTTCTTACACTATAGACTGCAAGAGGATACAGGCATTGCGTTTAATTCACCTTGGTTGGCAAATGTACTAATGTTAGTAATCTTTTACAAGGCCGTATTATTTAATGCCCAGGAAGTCAGAATTAAGCCAAAAAATTACAGCTCTAACTGATACACGAATACTAGCAAAACTTCAAATGTAGATCATGCTTTAGAAATCTTCTGGTTAAGGTTGCAACATAAGCCTTAACTTGGCTCTCTAGCCTTCTTCTGTAAGATTGAAGTACCCTGTCTTTTCTTGAGACTATTTATAGGTCTTAAATTACAAGTAATTTCTTTTCAAAGATTTTACAACTGATTCCTTGTACTCAACTACTGAGATAAAAGTGTAAGTTTGTTTTATAGTTTGATGCCATCAATTCCTGCAGTATGACAGACTGCTGAACACTTGAATTAGCAAACAGAAAAAGAGGGAGTCGACTTATTTTTTAAATTGTGTTCGTTTCAGCTCTGTGTATATAATGGGAAGTGAAATCTTGCATATAACAAATTTAAGTAGAAGTGATGATAGTGAAATTTAGTCGTTTCCATTTGAAACAACCTAATTTAAGCTTCCAAAAGTAGAGCTCATTAAAAAACATACCAGTTAGCAACTGAACAGTATAAACACTTTTTTTTACCCTTATACTGTATGTAAAAGAAGACTTTGTCTGTCTACCTTCATGGACACTTATTTCTGTCCAAAGGAAAAGCATTTATAGCTGGTTTGAATTGCCAGTCTCTTTTGATAGATGCCTCCAGAACTCAGACCCAAAAGAGCTAAGGTAGAGGTTTTAAATATACAGCCTATAGCAGGAGTGGGCAATTATTTTGGGCAGAGGGGTGCTTACTGAGTTTTGGCAAGCCATCGAGGGCCACATGACAGGCAGCCCAGGGCAGATAAATACTAATTTTCAAAATTTTTTAGGGGCCCCGCGGGCCAGATAGAATGGCCTGGCGGGCCGCATCCAGCCCCGGGGCCGCATTTTGCCCACCCCAGCCTATAGGCTGGGTCTGGTCCATGCATCTGTCATCATTCAGCCAGTGCTGTACCTAGACTCCTGGCAGTCCTAGGTGTACTTTTAGTATCGGGCCCCCTTCGCCAGAGATAATGATAATAATAATCGGACTTGTTGAAAAAGTCTCTCTCACATCTGTGGTATTAATGTCGCTAAATAATTCATTCTCAATTGATAACATTACCAATCCCATATATGCTCAATATTAAAACTTATTTTTGCAGTTGTAATTTTTTTGTTTCCATTTTTGGGCCCTCTTTCTGTCTAGGCCCCAGCCTGGTTCGCCCATGTCGGTGTCCGGGTCTGCATCCAGCTAGGGACCTCCTAGAGTGACAGTGAATTTGGGGGTAGGGCCCACTGTCAAAATCCATAATAGGGACGAATCCCTGTTGGGGACCTGTGTCTGCTGGTTGTGGGGGAGGGGAGTAATGATTGCATTAACCCCCATGGCTCCCTAACATTGCTGGACCCCGATCTGACCCCTGAGAAGCCTTGCAGTCTGGATCCCACTCAAAGGGTTGGTTGAGTTTGAGACCTCAGAATTAAGGTATTCAGGAACTGACCTAAATGTAATGGGAGGTGACAGCCAAGCTTAAACTTCAGTATTGTTGCATTTCATGTTAGGTAGTAAATGTAGATAGAAAGTAACCAAACAAATGAAGGAGAAGACTGAGACCTTTTTTCAGGGGAAAAAACAGTTCTTTAAAAATTTGGCAGAGCTGAAAGGCTTAAAGAATAAAACAACTGTTAGGATTTTGGCTTATTATCCACTATTCCTCTCCTGAAAGCTTTAGGCATAGGCCAAAATAGTTTGAAAAACAGCTAACTACAGTAGTAGCTTGGCAAATAAAACCTCAAAAACCTGATTTAAAAATACTTCAAAGCCACAAGGTTTGAGAGTGCACTTGTTTCTGATTCATTGTGAATCAGTTGATTTGTAAAAATAAAACCCAAAACAAAACAAAAAAACCCCCAAAATTATTTTATGTATTTCCAAGTTGCAGAGAATAGGAAAGCAGAAGGATGGAAAATCTGACTGGTCTCACTTCATTTCACCAGTGTATTTTACAAAAACTTTCAGTTCCTTTCATTACTGCATGCTGAACACTCTTTCAGTCTTGACTATAGGCTTGAGGGGAGTGAGGGCATGGGTCAAATTTGATAGCCCTAGTTCTGCCTAAATGTAAAGGAGCGTGCCATACTGGCAACATACAGACAAGAAATTAATCACCCAACTTTGCTACTGTACTTTGATATATCTGTCCTATTGTGGATACCATTTCCACACTTTAAAAATTCTGTGGTCATATTGAATGCTTCATTTCTACAGGTTGCTGAATCCTGTATTGTTAGTCTCTGGCTGTTGATTCCTTGCAGTATATTAAAACTAAGAGAACTGTTGCTGGTTTTAAATCACAAAATTGGTGCCTTAAATTGCTTTGAGTTATTTTAGTCCACCTATTTGCAAAGTAAGGCTTCCTAGGCCATCATTTAAACTGTCAGCTGTGTGTGTGTCCATTGATTTCCTCTTACCCATTGCACCCCCCCACCTCACTTACCTTTTATTCTGTATTAAGAAATCAATACCAAAGTTACAAAATGCATAAAAAAAGGAATTCTTGCCTCTGTATGAATCTGTTCATTATATTTAAACACAATTTTGTTAGGCTTTTTGTTAATATAATACCAAATGGTCTGTGTTTCTACAACAAAAAGCAGATTTGAACTTTTATCTGGAAAAGAAGGTGCACTAGTGATAGACCTGGATGTATTTCCCTTAAGTGATGCTTCCAAAAACAGATGTGTGGGTTTTTTCTTTTGTTTGTTTTATGCTTTTCTTTTAATAAAGCAAATATCCCCACCCCTTTTGACTGGCACCTCAGAATCAGCTCTGTTTCTGTCACTTCAGAATCAGTATTTTGCTGCTGCCCTGTGTCCACATATAAACAGCTGTTCAGGAAAGCTGACTCTGTTGCCTTTGATGCAGATTCTGTCTCTCCATTTGCTGTTAACATTGAAGCCCCAACCTGTCTTGCAGTCTCAGAAACAATGGAGCCAGGCCAGAGTTTCTGCTATGTCAGTCTTTGCAGCAAGGATAGAAGACTCAAGGTCATTGGCTAAAATACTACTTCCCCCCAGAGGGGAAAATGCTGACTTCAAAATAAGATGTTATTACGGTGAAAGTCCTTGATGCTTGTTTCTTCATGGCTGGCAAGCTAGTATGCAGTTCTGACAGAGAGCAAAGGTATACTTTGGAGAGCTTCTGGCAGGCTTTACCAGTACAGAAAAATTAGTCTCGAAGTCTTATTTAAAAACAAATCACAAATGTGTGCCATTCTTGGGTATAGCTATTTTATTAGCTTTTCATAAGCTAATACAGTGCCACATCTTAATAAGAACCAAAATTGAAGTGTATTATTTTGATTTTATCAATACAATCATCATTTTTTTAAACTTAGTTCATGTGTTTAATTGTCCCTCAACTATTTATTTATCCTTCTGTATTTGTATATTGATTTCCAGGTTTCTTTATTCAGATGAAGTTCAAATTGGTCCAGAAACAGTTATGACCACTCTTTATACTGCCAAGAAGTATGCAGTCCCAGCCCTGGAAGCACATTGTGTAGAATTTCTCACTAAGCACCTTAGAGCAGATAATGCCTTCATGCTTCTTACGCAGGTAACATTAATGCAATTTTGGCCTGTTATGACAATATTGTTTAGTAAGTGGCCCTGAAATTGCTATTACTTTACATAGTATTAGCTAGCTAGATTGCCTAATAATATGTAGAAGTATGACATACCAGCTGTCTAATTCAAGCATCTTTCTAAGTTTCTTGATTATTAGAGGGGAAAGAACCTTATAAATAAGTAGGATTTTGAAAATACATAATTGATTGGAACCTGATATATAGCAAGTCTGTTTTCCCTTCACTACTATTTCTAATTAGTCTTTTTTGGCAATAAGAAGGAAAGAAAATAAGAGAAATCTTCATATGTTGAAGATTTTAATGAAGTACATAAATAAGGGCCTTCAAGACACAAACTCAAGAATACTTCAGAGAGTAGTTGAGTGCATTTAAACATAATATATAATTGTTCCAGAATAAAAACATGTGCTTGTTTTGATTATTTGTTTGCATCTCTTGATTGCAACCTCAAAGAGATAGTGCAGAGTATATTTTTATATTTCTAGGCTCGACTATTTGATGAACCTCAGCTTGCTAGCCTTTGTCTTGACACTATAGACAAAAGTACAATGGACGCAATAAGTGCTGAAGGTTTTACTGATATTGACATAGGTAAGTTACCTTCTGTAATCTGAATATTTACATTTTCCAAGGGAACTGTACTGTTTTTTATTGTTAAACTTTTTGATCAACGTTTGCACTGACAACAAAAACCTTCATATTGGCGAACTCAGGTGTTACATAAAAAAATACAAATCAAGTTAAACAAGTAACTGTTACATTTTAACTGGCCATTTGAATAGGTAGACCCTTTCTAATGTGGTAACATACTGTATAAAATGTTGAATTGTTTTAACATGAAGTTTTTGGATCAGATACTTTGCTTTAACAATCTCTGCTTACATTGACAAAAAGAAATAAGAATTCTACAAAAAATACAAGCTTAACAGGATTTTACTTCTATAATATTTCAGAAAACATAGCAAACATTTATCTGCTAACCTACATTTTTTAGTTAAAGCACAGAAATTGGGGGATGAGGGTGTGTATATGTATAGGTGTGTGTATATATGTAATTAACATTAAGTATGTTGGTCATTTTTTGTTCTTTCATATCTTTTTACCAGTGCAGTAGAAATGTTGGCTAAAGTTAACATGAATTAATTTTGTAGCACTGGATATTATTCAAATATCCTAGTTTAGATCAACTCCAAACTGCATGAAAAATTATTAAATCAGCTATATGTTGTTGTACCTGTTACTTGCACATCTTACTCCCATCTTTTGAAGTGTTTTTCCCCAAAATTTGCACTATAGGTTCCTGTTGAAATAATACTGTGTGTGCAGTCTGTGACTAGGCCTATGGAAAAACACTAAAAAAAGCTCTAGTGTTTGTTACTGGCATAGCAACAGTTCAGATGTCGATTTCGATTGGTCTTGTGTATTATAGTTGCTATATTAATAAAATTGTCTCCAATTTTGCTTTAGGCCACTATTAATCATTGCTTAACATTGGATCTGTACAAGAGGTCTCCATTGCTGTCAGTGTGACACAGAAGAGAAATTGATTTTGTAAAAGCCCTTGTTGCATGCTAGGTTTTAGTTGTAGCTTTACTGTTAAATTACTGTTCTCCTTCAAGTGTCCATATGCCAATCCAGTTCAACTACTGGACTGGTCCTACACATTTTAAGCTATGAAAGCAGCATATTCACATTCTTGCCTAAACCTAGGCCTATGAACAGCCAGACTGATGGCATCAGCCTCCAGCCTGTAATGAGTGGATTTATGACTTTTCTGGAAGGAAAGGAACAGCATATTATCTGACCTAATTGGGTTCAGCAGAAATGAGCTCAGCAGACTATTGCTATTAGTGGGGATTAGCATTGTGCTTAGAGAAGGAGATGAACTTATTAGGTATAGTGCCCAAGAAAAAGATGGGACTAGAGCTCACTTTGCCAGAGGTCAGGGAAGAGGAAATAAATGGGACTCTAGACCAGTGGTGCTCAACTTCTTGGACTCATGGGCCAAATGAGTGGCATGGAGCCCATCTGTGGGCTGGGTTGGGCCCTGGGGCCCAGCACTACACCCTGCCTGCCCCATGTGCTAGGATTGGGCCCTGGGAGCCCAGCATCCCCCCTTTCCATGCACTGAGATTGGGCCCCAGGGGCTGGCATCAGCCCCTCTCGCCCCCCTAATTGGGTCTTGGGGCCCATGCCACCCCTGCTAGCCCTGTGCACTGAGATCATGCACCAGATCCAGCATGCAGGGCCTGGGGTTCCCTGTGGGTCCACAAATTTGGTGGCAAGGGAGCGATGCCACCCCCACTGTCAAATTTGCAGGCCTATATGGAGCCACACAGGCCAGATGACATAGTGTCATGGGCCAGAGGTTGAGCACCCCTACTCTAAACTAAAGCTGACTCTAATAGGAATGGGGAAAGATAGAGGATGAACTGGAATTCAACAAAGGGTAAACAGTTGTTCTACCACAGGCTTTCTCTCCTAGGAATTGGCTTCCATATATTTGTTTGCCTCATCCTCGTCTCCAGTGTTTTTCAATCCTGGAAGTTTTGTTTGGCCCTCCTATATATGGACTGTATGATGTGGTTGCCTGTGATGTGGGACAGGACTGTGACAGAGGAAGTGTCTTCGGTCCTGTGTGCCTATAACCATCCAACTGTTTGTTCTCAAAGTTCTTAGCTGTCAGTATTTTCCAGCTGGCCATCTTGTACCCTCCTAAAACCTTTGGGTGTCTATACACAAGCATGGAGGCTGCTCTGATGCACTGGAATTTCTGGAATTCTGCAATTCCAGCATGTCAGAACAGACTCAATTAATTGGGTCTGCTGGAGCATGGCAATTTCCGTACTCTAGCAACCTCCTGCGCCTTGTGGATCAGTGTCCCTGCACTTAAAAATGGCAGCAGAGGCACTTGAACTTGAGCTCGTTGAACAAGCTTTAGTTCAAACACCTCTGCTGCCATTTTTAAGCACCAGGACACTGATACACAAGACATGATGGCACTTTAATTAGAACATCCCTTGGAGCTGTTCTAATTAAAGCGCTGCCCTCCTCACCCCTAGAGCACATGTAAAAATGCCCTTTATGATTTTAGTTGTGAACACTGCATCACTATCTACAGTAGTTCTTTTTCATGGTGGGATCCTGAAAACTCTGTGACTAGTTCAGAAGAAGTTCTTGATTAGGAACACCTGTAGGGATCTGCCTAAATGGTACTGGACGTGTGCTGCGCAACAGCTCCTTTAATCTTGCTCTTTTTATCATGTGAGTCCGTCGTGTGTCGTCATCCTTGTCCCCATTCCATCTTCCCTCCCCCCCCCCAGCTGATTGACTGAGGGGTACTGGTGGCCCTGCTGCTTGCTGGTGATTGGCTGGGAGGCAAAAATTGCAGCTTATTTAAAACCACGGGGTTTGCCTTGCAGTCAATCAGAAGCAAGCAGCAGGGCCACCCGGGTCCTTTGGCAGATCATGGCTCCAGCTGACCAAGTTCCGGCTTTGGGCGGCACACGCTCCCGTCATGTGCACCACCCCGCTTTTTTTTGTGTGTGCGGGTTTTTTTGACTCCTGGATATCCAGGGGTCAAAAAAGCCCTCCACACTGTTCCCTTGTAGCATGGAGAACAAGTGAACATGCAGTATGTGGTACAACAGATGCGTTTGCAGCGCCCCACACCGCACAGCCGCACTTGTCTGGACGTGGCCAAAAAGTCTGAAGACACTAAAGGGCATGAACAAACATACAGTTGCAGCAGTTTCAAAAGGGGACCTGCTGTATGGTGCCTCGTACAGTAAAAGTTCTGTTATCCAGCCTCTTACAAGCCAGCATTCTCCACTAACCGGCATGCTGGCTTGTAAAATAAAGTGAAACCAGAAGTACCCACTGTGGCACTTCTGGTTTCTCCGAGTCCCCATGGCTCGGGGCAAAGCAGCCTGTGCTGCCGAGCCCCCACAGCCCAGGGGCGTAACAGGCTGTGCGGGGATGTGCGGGTTGTACGATGCCACAGGAGGGGTGGAGGGACACCCCAGACGTGGCATGAGAAGCGGCGGCTAGGGCTGCTCAATTAACCAGTATATTTTGTTAGTCGGCATCCCCCGTTCCCAGGGGATGCCAGATAACAGAGCTTTTACTGTACAATGACACCCCTAGGTTATTAACTAGGGCCCCTTTGTAGTTTGGGTACATTTAATAATAGGTGTTTTCATCTGCATCAGGACATCTATTAGTCCAAGTAAAACAAGCTACTCTCCCTGGATGTCAGAAGTAGTTTGTTTCCACAAAAACAGTCATCTTAAGAAATTGGATGTGCCTTTATTTATAGAGGTTACAAGGGAAGGGGATAAGTTCTTTGTAGTTGTATGTTAGATGACAATTGAAGAAGATTATTTGAGGTTCAGCAAGATTCCTGACAGACCTGGGCTTATGTGAATAGGTCCTGTAAGAGCAACAGACCTTCATATGGCTAAACTGGCAAAGCTGTAAGTTAAATGTTTTAACTGTGGTTGCGCTGAATGAGTTGGAACATGTAGTGCTTACCACCAGTTTTGGATGCTAGATGTCTACATGTTTAAAGGGTTTTCATAATATATCCTTACGCCACTTTTATGTATTCCCCTCCTTGTTATGTCTCAGTAGATTGGCAGAAGGACACGCAAATGAGAATACAACTTTTACGATAGATAATTTGTTTTTTCTCATAGTGTACATTCACCAATCTGCTTGATCACTTCCTTTTTTGATCTTGCCCCAGTCTTGAAAATTCTCTTGGGACATGAAAGCATATTTGGCACTAGTTATATAAGCATAGTCCTAGTCTTAGGAATCGAGAAAAAGGTTCATATGCTGTCTTCATAGCAGGAGGAGAGACAGGACAAAACCTGTTTGGACTGGAGGCTTTACGAAGACTCATTTACACATAAGGCAAAACTGTCTTATCTAAGGTATTGTGCATTAAATTCACTTAGTCCTTAAACTGATTTTCAGATATTTAGTCAGTTTTAAGTTTATTCTCCAAAAGTAATTTTGGTATTCATTTTGGTAAAATATGTTATTCTTGACTGAAGTTGTGTAATTTAAACGGACCTAAAATGTAAAGGGGATTGTTATGACTAGAGTAAAAAAGTAATAAATTTGTTGGTAACTTTAATTCTTTTTCTGTAGATACACTATGTGCAGTTCTAGAAAGAGACACTCTTAGTATTCGAGAGAGCAGACTCTTTGGAGCTGTTGTTCGCTGGGCAGAAGCAGAGTGCCAAAGACAGCAACTGCCTGTGACATTTGGAAACAAACAGAAAGTACTTGGAAGAGCTCTGTCCTTAATTCGTTTTCCACTAATGACCATTGAAGAGTTTGCAGCAGGTAAGCTTATGTGTCTTTTCATCTTCTGTAAGCATGGTTCCCTGAATTATGCTGTTGGCTTCGTGGCCTATTAATGACTGATTCACTTCACGGACATTTCATACCCACTCTGTTAGTAGCAAATGTATTTAACTTTTGTAGTCAAACTTGACATGTTTCTGACCTTGATGAGTATCTTCACGTAAATATTTCCACTGTTTGATTAAGTACTACAGAGTGGAAAATGTAAGTATAATGTCTCCTGAGAACAAGCCTTTTCTTTTCCCAGGTCCTGCTCAATCTGGGATTCTATCAGATCGAGAAGTAGTAAATCTCTTTCTGCATTTTACTGTTAATCCTAAACCTAAAGTTGACTATATTGACCGACCAAGATGCTGCCTCAGGGGAAAGGAATGTAGCATAAACAGGTTCCAGCAAGTGGAGAGCCGTTGGGGCTACAGTGGAACAAGCGACCGAATCAGGTATTTGCCTTAAAATGGTCTACAGGAGGAAGAGGGAGCATGCTACTTGACTGCTGCTTTGTAGAATTCAAAGCAGTAACTCAGAAATGGATTCAGTTTGCATACAACAGTACTGTCTAAATGGCAGCTAGCAGGCTCCTACCCAGCCACCACTTCTCCAGTTGTTCCTGTTGCTACTGTGGCTGGGGGCTCTGGGCTTCTCCATCTCTTCTGGCTTCTCCATTCCTGGGGCCAGAGTGGTGAGGTGGGGGGTGGGGGGGGGCCAAGGATGTGGGCTATGTTGCTTGTGCTCTGTGTATAGCTGTGGGGGGAGAGGAGCTGGAGTACCTGTGCAGTAGGTAGACCCCAGGAGAGCTGCTTCTGCTATGTGTAGCATAGAGCCCACAGGGCTGCAGCCACCTACTGCCCAGAAATTGGACACACTGGCATAAAATCTCTGTACAGTATATGTGATATGTATAGATAAAACACATTTAAGATAAAGGAAACATTTGGAAAAATAGTTTTGGGTAGGTTTGAGTGAACCAGGTCTTAATGATTGATAATATGTACATTTGTTCATCATATGCCACTCTTATAAGTTCCTTTCCAAGCTGTCTGAATGATGATAAGATTTAAGATGTTCTTTCTTTTTTTTGGTTTTTGTTTCAGTAATATTGAGTCTTTCCAAAAGATGTTCATGTGATAGCATCAGCTTGCTTTTTACAGTAAAATAGGTCTTTGGAAGCTATAGCTTAATAGAATTCATTCAGTGTTCTCTATTTAAATTTAATTTAATACTTTATTCTGGCCTTGATCATGTGCCATTCAGTTAATGGGAGCTTTTCTTTGACCTAACTTGAACAGATAAAGCCCTATAATTGTATAGATTCCTCATTTGGCTTTTTCTTTGTGCTGTATAAGATTCACAGTTAATAGAAGAATTTCCATTGTGGGATTTGGATTGTATGGATCAATTCATGGACCCACAGACTATCAAGTTAATATACAGGTACTGTACATTTTTGCACTGTGTAGAAACTAAACATATTATAAGTAATAATATTTACATAAGGTTTACTGTATATTTGGATTCAGCTGAAGTAATTCTGTAAGCCAGGTGGTTCATGCTATTTTGTGCTACTGTATGTGTTCAAGTCTCTGACTTCAGCAGTATAATTTTCACATTTGTCCTCGGTTGTGATCTATAATAAAGCCTTTTTCAACTGTGGAAGCCCTATTGAATGTAAGGTCTGCTTTGCACTTCTCTGCTTCTCTTGCGTTCTCATTTATATAATGTGTAACACAATACTGCTTTGGATTGGGACATGGGATTGCTAATGTAATAAAAATGAGACGTGGGCATTTTGGTATCTAACACTTGTGAGACCTGCTTGGTTACCTGCATCAGGATTTGCCACCAAGAGTGGTAGTAAGAATCCTATAGAATAGTATTAGTTTCTGCTTTTAGTAAGTCATTCCTATTGTTCTCTGAGAACTAACAGGGGAACTGCGTGAGATGAGTAAATGCTTGCAGATGTAGGGGATAAAAAAAACCTCACTTTACTAGAAGCAGCAGCAAGTTAGTTTGATCTGGCTTTGCAGCATCTGTATAGACTTGGCATTTCAGCGGGGCTTTTTGGTACTTTTATCTAAAGATAATTCAATCAGCTATTAGATAAAAGCCCTTAAAAAGCTCCACTAAAGCACCTGATCTATACAGACAGTGCAGAGCTGGGACAAACTAATGAACTTCCTCTTCTGGGCATGTGCTGGGCTTGGCGCAGGAGTGCGCCAAATTTAAAATAAAGCACCAGGTTTTTCTGTTGGCTTTTTTTCATGTCTGCAAGCAGCTAAAATTAATATAAAATGGAAACAAAGGTGATAAAGTACTGCAGATATTACTGCGCAAATGGAAGGATGCATCGTTGTGTTTTTAGATGGTTTAGCGAGTACTGTTAAATAACCTATAAAGATACTTAACAGTATGGTTTGCTAATATCTCAGTGTTATCCAGGAGGTGTAGACTTTTATTTAAAGAGCCACGCGTGGTTCGTGCTCTAGGATATAATTGAAGTGAGCTCAGGGGGTTTAGAACTCTAAATCGATCTCCTCACCAGCAGATCACTGCTGGGGTCACGCTGCCTTTTATGTTCAATTGGGTGGAGTTAGGAAGTGTTTCCTGTAATAAGTATTTTAATATAAATAATCATATGTATGTTGATGTTGGGTAGTTGTTTGAGATTAGATTTTTCTCTTTCAGAATTGTAAAATAGTTAAATTCACTGTCTTTTAACTTTATATTTTATACAGATAATTGAATATGAGAAAAATCAGACGCTGGGACAGAATGATACAGGATTTAGTTGTGATGGAACTGCCAATACTTTCAGAGTTATGTTCAAAGAACCCATAGAGATTTTGCCAACAGTGTGTTATACAGCTTGTGCAACACTCAAAGTAAGAATGCTTTGAGTACATCTTACAGAAGAAAACAAAAGGGAAAATTGCTTGTACCCATGTTTTTAGCTAACTCTGAACTGTCACCTGGTGGGGGAAATATCTTTCAAGTCTTAGATTATTTTCATTTCAGTGGCAGTGCTACAGATTAGTTTGACATAAGCTTTACAGTAACTGCAAGATTCTGTGCTGTGCGTGTTAGACACAGGGGAGATGGTACTTAAAGCCAGCTTAGTGCCTTTTTATGCCTTCTCAATTTTGGGTTGATCCAGAAGCCAGAATGGATCCCAGTGTAAATCATCTGTTGCCCATGAGCAGCCACATTGTAAGGTTTAACTTGAAGGAACTTGATTTAAAAAAATAAAATAAAAGAGCACTATTATTTAAGTAAGTGGTGTTTACCTTTTTTTAAAGGTTAATTCCTAATGCATTATAAAACTATTAGTTTGCTTGCAGAAGGGGAAATGTATCTCTCTCATATAGCAGTAGTGGCAGTTTGCTTCAAAACTGGGACCTGTCCTTTTGTGTAATTTTTTTCCCCCTGAAGTGTATAATTCCAAAAAATGTGTATAAAAGTTGGCTTTATCATTCAGTAGTGACATGGGGAAGCATGTGGAGCATTTACTGTTCCTCTCCTAATCTGTACAGTGACTGTAGGTACATCAATTTAATATTTATTTATGGTCCTACAACTCTTGCTATGTTGTAGACTAAAACTTTTCCTTTCTTTAAAGTGAAATTTTCTCTTTTGACTGTTAAGGCCCAGTTTTAAATGTGAGTTATGCATTTTTAAAAGTACTTGCATAAACATAAAGGGCTGCTACGTCCATTGCTAAAGAATAAATAGTTGTGATTTGGGAAGGCTTAACTCATTCTCTATACAAAGAAAAATGTAGTTACAGAGTGGGGAGGGAGGAAAAAGCATTGCACCAAACATCCGTATATCTTAAGTTACACTTCCTTAGCAGGATGCCTTCTCTGCTCTGCCATGGCACCAGAGTCTTACTCTACACTAATTTCTAAGGCTGATGATCCTAGTTGACCCAAATGCTAAGTGGGTGCCTTGTCATTCACGATGGAAGGCCAAAAGCAGCTGGGCATGATGCTAGCCACATCCCTCTCTTAGGTGTGGTTGGCTATTGCAACTGGTAAACCTTAACCATACTAGCCTGATAGGCCATTACACTTGAATTTGTTGGGTTTATATGGTAAACTCAATTTAAAATGTCCCTGCCTTGCTAGCTGTCTGATTCAAGAGCAGATGCGTGTCTCTAAACTCTCCTTTTGAAGGTAATTGTTTAAATACTTTGTCATGGTCTATAGCATTTGGAAACTGAAGTATAGTGGTCAAGTGAGTAATTCAAGAGTTCATTTAAAATAGCAGGAATATATAGAGATTTTATGGAACCTAATATAATATTTTACAGATCTTGCTGATGTTACCTAGCTACCCTTTCTCCAGTTCAGTTGCTCACTACTACTTTTGCTGTTTATATTAGGGTCCTGATTCCCATTATGGCACAAAAGGATTGAAGAAAGTAATCCATGAATCTCCAACTGCCAGCAAAACCTGCTTTTTCTTTTTTAGTTCACCAGGTAACAACAATGGAACATCAATAGAAGATGGACAGATACCAGAAATAATATTTTATACATAATTCCCTATGATTCATAGTCTCGGATATAACAATGTATGGACTGACTTAAGCATAAAATACTTGCTACTGGTGACAGTTACCAACTCTGTGATATTGCATAAATATTTAATCTCTTAAATGTGTAATATGAAACTGTAAAACATTTCTTATAAGAGGTACAAGAAAAAATCTATTTTTCTGCATGGTTATTGGCTATAAATTAACAGACAGCTTGTTATCTTCACAAAGCCTTGGAAGTAAGGAGCAATCTATGTTGTAAAGGTTGTTTAAAAGTTATCTTGTGATTCTGGGCTTTTATTTCTATGAGTACTTGCACTTTTTCAGCATATGGTGAAAATCCTCCTTTGAACTGGAAGGTCCTTGTTTGGTATGGACTTCTGGTATATATGTTTTTTTTCCTGTTTTTAGAAAGCTCTGTTGCTCTGTTCTGGAGTTGCATTTCTCTTTAAATATTCTTGGAATGGTCTCTGCAGGGTCAAATGACTACTTACATTTTTTTAAGTAGTACATTATCACAACTGTATCGTAGCTATGTTGCTTTCGTCTTGACTTACTGGATGAGCCAGGAAGAATTAACTGAGTAAGCACTCTAAAAATTACCTGGAATTGTATTTAAAGAAAATAACGTGTACGTACAGCCAAGATCTGCAGTGTACAGTACTTCCACAATTTTAGTTTTCATTCAGAAATTAGTATTTTTAGTATGGTATTGGAACATATACATTGATATGGAAATGGCAGTTGTATATAAATCTATGCCTACAAAAATGTCTATGAAAATCTGAGAATACAAGAAATCTCTTGATAATATTTTATGACTGGATGCTCTAGCATTAACCATTACTAAAATCTGTATGATCTAAGTATCTGTTTTGTGCAATAAGTCCTAGAAAATATCTACAGTGACTCAAGTAACATGACGGGATACAATCCTCCAAATGGTACAGTGAATATCCATAGATAGTATTATTGTAGATTTACAGAAACAGTTAAACAGTGGAAAAAATTCCTGTCCCCTCTGCAGGATTCTGCATGCTCCCACAAACTAGTCTACAATAAATCACTATCATTTTAGCTGATATAACATTACAGAAATAATGCTGTACTATTTAGAAAAAAGTGTAGTGCCAGTAATATCCGTTTAATAGATAAATATGCAGTAACTGGATCAGATTCATTTTATTTTTAAAATGAGCTCAAAATGAATGCGTAAAATCCTGCACCACTTTTGACTGCAAATAATTCTTAATTCTTTTTTTAAAGTACTGTAACAATTCAGGTAGAATTGACCAGTTTGACATGACATGACATTAAACTGCTATTTATGAAGATTCAATTAAAGTGTCTAGTACAAAAATAATTCTTCAAAAAATGTGTAATTATTGAGTTTTTTAAGCATTTTAAAGCATTTCTTGTCGCTGGCTAAGGTAATTTTTACGTTTCAGTTAAATATCCAGAAAAACTTCCCTTGAATTTCTGTTTGCCTGCTAAGATGCAGCACATACATGAGTCTTGATCAAGACTGTAAAGCTCTGGTGAATCAAGAAGCCAGTATTTACTTGATAGTATTTTATTCCAGTGGTTTAGTAATCACACTTGACCACATCAGTTTTCTTTCATGGTATGTGGGAAACTCAATTTGTCTTCAGTAAAGCTTCTTTAATTCAGTCATTTGAACTTCTCATAAAGATTTTAAAAACTATGACTGTTATTGGAGTGTTGCAAAGCTGTGTTGGGTCAGGACTGTTACTAAAAGGCATATTCCTCCTTACTTGCTGGATGGCAATAGAACTCACAGAATCATGATCAGTGAGTCTGAAAACTAGCAAGTATGACAGAAAACCAGCTTGGCTTAGCAGGGAACTCTTCAGTAAACTAAATCGCAAAAGGTAGCTTGTAACAAGTGGGAACCTGAAGAAATAACTAGGGAAGACTATTAAGAGCATTGCTTGGGCATGCAGGGCTGAAGTCAGGAAGGCCAAAGTGCAATTGGAGTTGCACATAGCAAGGGATGTAAAGGGTAACAAGAAGGGTTTCTACAAGCATGGGCGGTAGCAAGAGGAGGAACCGTGGCAGTGAATCCCTTACTGAGCTGGGGAGGAAACCTTGTGACAGGGGATGCGGAAAAGGCTGAAGTGGTCAATGCATTTTTTGTCTGCAGAAAAGGACCTGGGGGTTACAGCGGATAATAAGCTGACTATGAGCCAGCAGTGTGCCCTTATTGCCAAGAAGGCTGATGGCATCCTGGGCTGCTTTGGTAGGTGTGTTGCCAGTAAGTCAAAGAAAGTGATTATTCCCCTCTTTTCAGCAATGGTGAGGCCGCATCTGGAGTACTGTGTTCAGTTTTGGGTCCCCCACTACAGAATGGATGTGGAGAAGTTGGAGAGAGTCCAGCATAGAGCAACAAATGGCTAGGGGGCTGAAGGACATGACTTCTGAGGAAAGACTGGGAGAACTGGGCTTATTTAGTCTAGAGAAGAGGAGACAGAGGGGATTTAATAGCAGCCTTCAACTACCTGAAGTGGGGCTCAAAAGAGGATGGAGCTGGACTGCTCAAGTTGCAGCAAGGGACGGTCAGGTTAGCTAATAGGAAAGCTGTTCTCACTAGGAGGGTAGTAAAGCACCGGGGCAGGTTACCTACAGCGGTGGTGGAAGCTCCGTCCTTGGAGGTTTTCAAAACCCAGCGACACAGCTTTGGCTGGGACGATGTAGTCGGGGCTGGTCCTGCTTTGAGCAGGGTTGGCCTAGACACCTCCTGAGGTCCCTTCCACCCCGCCACCCCCCGCTTCGATTTTATGCCTTGAAGCAGCAGCCCGCGCACCGCAGCTGAGGTGACACCGCTGCTTTCCAGCGCAGCTCCGGCCCCCGCGCCCCAGGCAGTGTATAGACCCCGCCCCCTCACGGCAGCCGCGGTGGGCGGAGCTTGCTGCTGTTGTCGGAAGTGCGGGCCGCGAGCGGCCCTGCGTGATGCTGACCCTCGCCAGCTTCCGTCTGCGCTGCGCGGGGCTGCGCGGCTGG